TAAGGTTAGGTCAGGTCAAGTTAGGTTAGGTTAGGTTAGTTTAGTTCAAGCTAGGTTAGTTCAAGTTAGATTAGATAAGCGAATATACGATTTTCTATCATGATGAACTTTAAAACTAAGGGGGGTCTACTTGCTTTTGGACTCCATGCTCAAGCAAAGAAGTGAGAAATTTAGCGATGAGCATGGAGTCCAAGATCTTGGACGAGATGAGCAAGCAAGTATATCACGGGTGAGCATGGAGTCCAATATCTTGGACGCGATGCTACATAATCTTCAAAACAGCACGACGGAGATACGTATTTTTGCAGTTTCACCGACGATGAGTCTCAGCAAGCTCAAGGAATAGAAATGCGCCTTCAATTTCTGGAATAGCAACGCGGACATCTACGAAACACTAATAGTTGCATCCAAGCGCCGTGATCGGTCTTGGAGCCAGACTTCATGATGAAAACCGGATCTGGGTGTGAGAAACAGAAACGCGCCTTCAATTTTTGGAATAAGCAACACGGATATCCACGAAACACAATTATAGTCGCATCTAGGCCGCCTTGATCCGTTTCTCAACTGAATCCCCTTGCAGGACAACTGTCTACTAGCAAGCATTAGTTTTCTTTGTCTCCTTTTTACTGCATGATATCAAAGCTGAATAAAAAACGTGTTTACGCAGAAAAAAAATTTGAACGGGCTACATTTTGCGTGAAAGAGCTCGCTAAAGTAAAAACGAGAGGGAAAAAATCAGAAAGATGAGCTCAGTTTAATTGAATTTTGGAAACGGAAGCAAAAGAGAACCTTAAACTTTTGAGGATTAATATTCTTGACCCCAAACTAGTTTTTTTGCTGTATTGAACAAGTTGAGTAACCGCCTGGTGCAGTGGCGTGGCGTGCTTTGCGATATATCGATTGATCTCATAGAGAAAATACAGAAGGTGGTGGCAAGCGGATAAATGTACTTTTCTAAGTTACAGCTAAAAATGAAGCCGCCCTCCTGATTGGTCAATAGGCTCGCGGGAAAACCGAGACCTCTTTGAAATTTAAAAAGGATCAGGAAAGTTGTGAGGTTCCAACTTATTTTGGCTCTAAAAACTCGTAACTTTGACTTTCATGTTTCAATATGTTTTTCTATCGATGTTCGACTGTAACTGAAAATAATTTGTAAGTTAAAAATATATACTTCAAATAGGAAAAGCTTTTATCTCGACTCGTCCCGTTTTGTCGTTCTGTGCGTCAAAAAATCAGAAATTGGAGAGTCATGGTAACTAATGCTCAATTGTATGACTTTCAATGTTAGTTTGAGTGGTGATATAGGTCTCCATACAGGTTCCATCATGAAATGTACTTTCCACCTCCTGCATTTTCTCTATGGATTGATCTGTCATGTAAACCTATAGAAAAGGCTCGATAAACAGAGTGTTCGCAACGATATTTTTAACAATCGATTTTTTACCATAGCTTCAAATGTGAAAATATCGATAAATGATCGATCTATCACGCCTCACCACCGGCTTTGCGGCACATTTTGTTCTAGTGTCACAATAAAAATGGATTGGGGGGTGGGAAGAGAGAGAAACTACTCGCGACGGTTGCTGAAACGAAAGTGGTATCAGTCATCCTCGATTCAGTACTTCTGTTTTCAAACTCTTGAATCTTCGAATCCGTCGTGGATACATCCTTTTCTCATCCACACTGTCAATAACTCCTCCCTTAAAACCTCATCGATCTAAATAAATTTCTTCCACCCAGTGAGATTGGTTTACAGAGCCCTTAAAATAATGGTTCACCCAAGGAAATCTGTCTCTCGGAATGAAGCTGTTGTACACGATTGTTGACACTAAAGCCTCTTGTGCAGAAATTCAATCCTGAGAGATACGAAATAATGGAGGAAATGCAGCAAATACGGCGTTCTTATTCCTTTAGACTTCCCTCTCTCTCATTGAAAGCACTCATATTTCTCTTCCGTTGGTTTTAACGCGACAAACCGTCGGATGAAATTCCGGAACGACTAAATAGAAAACCCAACAACGGAGGAGAAATTAAAGAAGTAGAGATTCTCTTCTCCACTATCTGGAGAGTAAATAACGCAGTATTCCGCTTGTGCGGTGCATGCTGCCTGGCTCCGGAAAAACGCCGTATGAATATTCAAGCGTTGTCGAATTTCCTTTGATAAAATACGAATCATCTTGAAAAATTGTGATTTCTTCCCTCAAAGTTTTCAGAGAGT